GCGTGGCCCTGGAGGTGGACAACCACACGGCCGTGGCCCTCAGGGCCATGAAGGTGCCCGTCGGGGCCGGGAGGTTCAAGGGACTCACAGTTTCGCTCTGGGACCTGCTGCACTCGGAGTACGTGGGCGACCATCCGGGGGCTGCGCAAGCAGGTGTCGGCCGGCGACCTGTTCCGGTCCCACGTGATTGACAAGAAGACCCTGGACGAGCTGAACCAGGGCACGAGGACGGTGCAGGAGGTGACCGCCATGGACAGCGTGCGGACCTTCCTGGAGGGAGGCAACTTCATCGCCGGCGTCCTGGTCCAGGCCACGCAGGAGCGGATGAGCATCTCGGAGGCTCTGGGCAGGGGCCTCCTGCGGCCGGGCACGGCCCTGGTGCTGCTGGAGGCCCAGGCGGCCACCGGCTTCCTCATCGACCCCACAGAGAACCGGAAGCTGACCGTGGAGGAGGCCTTCGGGGCGGGGATGTTCGGCAAGGAAACCTACCAGAAGCTGCTGTCGGCCGAGCGGGCGGTCACCGGCTACACCGACCCCTACACCGGGGAGCAGATCTCCCTCTTCCAGGCCATGAAGAAGGAGCTGATCGTGCGGGCCCACGGCATCCGCCTGCTGGAGGCCCAGATCGCCACGGGCGGCATCATCGACCCCGTGCACAGCCACCGCGTGCCCGTGGAGGTGGCCTACAAGAACGGCTACTTCGACGAGGAGATGAACCGCGTCCTGGCCGACCCCAGCGACGACACCAAGGGCTTCTTCGACCCCAACACGCACGAGAACCTCACCTACATGCAGCTGCTGGAGCGCTGCGTGCGCGACCCCGAGACCGGCCTGCGCCTGCTGCCGCTGAAGGGGGCGGAGAAGGTGGAGGTGGTGCAGGCCACACAGGTGGACACGGATCAGCAAGATGTCCTTCCTGGGCCTGAGGCGCCCAGTGACTGCACCCCAGCTGGGCGTATCCAGGGTCCTGGACCCCGAGACCCTGCAGGGCCTGGCCCAGGGCACCAAGAGCCCCCAGGAGGTGATGAAGATGGACTCGATCAAGTGCTACGTGGAGGGCATGAGCTGCATCGCAGGGGTGCTGATGCCCGCCAGGGCTGAGCCCGGGAGGCGGGAGAAGATGAGTGTCTACCAGGCCATGCGGAAAGGCCACCTGCGGCCGGGCACAGCCCTGGTGCTGCTGGAGGCCCAGGGGGTCACCGGCTTCCTCATCTACCCCGTGCGCAACCAGCGGCTGTCCGTGGCCGAGGCCGTGGCCGCGGGCCTGGTGGGCGAGGAGCTTCGGGAGAGGCTCCTGGACGCCCAGAAGGCCGCCAAAGGCTACGTGGACCCAGACAGGGGGGACACGGTCCCACTGTCTCAGGCCATGGACAGAAAGCTGGTCAAGCGGGAGGAGGCGCTCCGGCTGCTGGAAGTGCAGGTGGCCACGGGCGGGGTCATCGACCCGCGGCACCACCTAAGGCTCCCGCTGGACACGGCCTACGAGCGCGGCTGTCTGCGCCGCGATACCTACGCCCTCGTGTCTGATCAGAAGCACATGAACAAGAGGTTCGTGGACCCCAACACCCACGAGAAGGTGACGTACCAGGAGCTTCAGGGGCGAAGCCGCCAGGAAGAGGGGACGGGCTGGGCGCTGTTCCCCATCACCCGCGACGAGAAGGACACCACGCACATCGACGAGGCCACGAGGAAGGCCCTGGAGGGCGAGCGGGTGGACGTCCCGGTGGGCAGGTACCGGGGACAGCGGCCGTCCGTGTGGGAGCTGCTGAATTCCGAGTACATCACGGAGGAGAAGAAGGTGGAGTTGGTGGGAAAATACAAGCGAGACACGGCCAAGGCGCTGGACAAGGTGGTGAACAAAATCTTCGTGATGATCGACGAGAAGGAGAAGAGCGCAAGGCAGCTGTGGTTCCGGGGCATCCGCAAGCACATCACGGCCACCGAGCTCTTCCAGGCGGCCATCATCACCCAGGAGACGCTGCGGCAGCTGGAGGCGGGACACAGCAGCGTGGAGGACGTGGGGCAGGACGCCGGCGTGAGGCGCTACCTGGAGGGCACGAGCTGCATCGCGGGAGAAGGAGAAGCGCAAGGCAGCTGTGGTTCCGGGGCATCCGCAAGCACATCACGGCCACCGAGCTCTTCCAGGCGGCCATCATCACCCAGGAGACGCTGCGGCAGCTGGAGGCGGGACACAGCAGCGTGGAGGACGTGGGGGGGGGGGCCGGCGTGAGGCGCTACCTGGAGGGCACGAGCTGCATCGCGGGGGTGCTGGTGCCCGCCAGGGACCAGCCCGGGAGGCGGGAGAAGATGAGCGTCTACCAGGCCATGTGGAAGGGCCACCTGCGGCCCGGCACGGCCCTGGTGCTGCTGGAGGCCCAGGCGGCCACCGGCTTCCTCATCGACCCCGTGGGCAACCGGCGGCTGTCCGTGGA